TTCTCACAGGGGAGGGAAACCCTGTTATTTCCTACTACCCTAGCAACACCTACGTGCCGATCCTTATATTTTACAACGGGTGGATCAGAAAACTGAGGAAAGACTTCGATGAAATAGCCATAAGCTTCACTGAGTTGGTTTTCTCATTACTGAAAAATTAATATGTAGAATATGTAATTTTTTGTGACAACTTTTCGCCTGAAGTAGAGCTTTATTAATTCACGGACTTGAAAAAGCTCCACACAGCGAAACGTCGTCCTACTAAACGCTTGTTCTGCAACGTGTTTCTAACCTAGATGTTTTTTCCTGCTAAAGAAAATACCCTGTATTCCTCTTCTCCTCTCCTCAAGGGAGGTTCCTTGATGCTGGTGAGGGGCTCTTGATCTTGGGAATTTGATCTGTGCTCCGGTTCCCTGAGCTTGAATACCTTCCATCCCCCCCTCATGCGCTGTATAATACATCCTACGGGTTTAGCGCTCCCCAATGATTATAATAATAATCCTCTTCTAATATGTGTACTGTAACCTCGTGTGTTTGTTGCTATACCCATAAACAACTGCAAATACATTAATTTTTCATTATTCAAACTTCTACGAACTTGGTAAATTCGTTTCGAGAAACAGAAGTTGTTTACGATAATCTAAGGATGTATATAATTATGTACGAATGTGTATAATAATCTAAGGGCATGATAATCCAAGGACGTGCATGGTTATTTAAGGACATGCCTGATCAGGTAAGGACACTGACGATCACTTAACGCTTTTTTTTTTTTTTGAGAAAGCATTCGCTTGAGATGTAATTTGTGTAGTGTGTACCTTAATCTCTTATCTACGGGATAATTGAAGCCTGGGGGCACGTGTGAGCTTTGTTATCAATTAAGAAAGCAATGACTCGAGCCATAGTTGTTTTCTCCTCTGCCATTAAGAAATGCTGACCGTAGGACTTAAGATGGGACATTCTGTAGACCTGCCTCTGTGGCACATCTTATTGGCCTGGTACATCTGTAACGTCACATTTAATGGAGATGATGGAACTGAAAGGTTCAACCTCTGTGTTTTCCATGTAAATGTTTGCCAGTTATGACACTGATGGGTGAGCACATGGCCATGTCAAAATATTACGTGTACCTGGCATCCCATTTATGAGAACTTAGGACGCCACTGAGTGGAACAAGAGTTGCTACTTGCAATAACACGATAATAGAAATTGACAATGTTAACGGTGGAAATTATTGTACTTTGTATTATTCACTCGACTGCCTTCATGGCTACCTTCATGCCTACACTAGGATCATTAACACTACCAGGGTACCTATATGG